AATTATTTTCGTTGTGACGTCATAACTGTAATTTCACTACTCTCATGAATTATACTGTAAATATCTGTGCTTTCTGATGGTCTTAGGTGACCCCTGTGGAAGGGTTGCTCAACCCCCAAAGGGTTGCAATCCACAGGTTGAGATCCACTGCATTAGACAAATTAGACAGCTTATTTTCTTTCTTTCCTTTTTTTTTTTTTGGCGGGGGGGGGGGAGAATTTTGTAATTATATTTATGTGCAGAAAACATAGCAGTGTACATTTAACCCATTTTAATGGCAAGTTCCTTGGCCTTTGTTTTTTCTAGCTTGGCAATTCGAGCTACAGATGTAGGACCCAGGATGTTACCTTCCCAGTAGTGGTGGAGCTCTCATAATTGGTCTTGATGGCTTCCACCAGCTTAGCCAGAAGCATCCTTGTCTCCAGAGTTAACCTGTGTGAAAGCAATAGTGGTACATGTCTTTCTGTGGACCAGCCTGGCCTTTCCCTTGATGATGCAGTAGGGGACCCCCATCTTTCGACACAGGGCAGATAAGAAGACCACCAGCCTAGTGGGGTCTACGTTGTAGACAGTCACCACCACCTGAGCCTTCTTGTTCTCCACGAAGGTGGTGACTGTGTTGACCTCTGCTTGAAGGTCAGGTGGTCTCCTAGTTGGGACATCCCCTTCACCAGCAGCTTTCTTTCTAGCATGGGCCAGCATCCTTTGTTTCTTCTCCTGCTTTGTCTCTGGCCTGTCCTTGTGGTTCAAGCTTAAGCAGCTGGGTAGCTGTTTGCTGGTCCAGGGCCTGGGGGAACTGGTTGATGGCAGGAGGTATTTGAGCTGCTTATAGAGGATGGCCCTCTGCGGCTGCAGCCTGATGCATTGGGGCCATTTGACGACGCGTGTGAGATCTCTTTGGGGCTGGATGTCTTGTCCAATGCAAAGTTCTTGGCCTTTTCTCAGAGGATTCACCACCTTTTTGGCCTCCTGTTTCTTCATGACAGCAGGGTCTGGGTCCATCTTCTTCCACCTGGCCTTCTTTCCTTTGGGCATCTTGCTTGCCTGGAGGAGAGGTTCATTTTCAAGTAAAGCTCAGATACGGGGCTAGAGCACTGTTAGCCTCTGAGCATAAAGATCCAGTTGGCTGAAAATTCTTGGGAAGGTAACGACATGACCTTCTTTCAGACTTCGATAGAGTCTACAAGTTTGAACTAAGAAGAAATGTAACCTCCAGCTGTGTCTCCCTCATCAAAACGAAGAGTTGACTGTTCTCCAGTGTTTTCATTTATAAAACGGCACAGAAAGAACAGGGACATTTGAACATGTGCCAACTGATCCCATCATATTCTCCCTCTCCTCCTCCTTTCTCTTCCTCCTCCTCCTTCTCCTCCTCCTCCTCCCTCTTCCTCCTTCCACCTTCTCCTAAAGGTGTATGTGTATGTGTGTGGGTGGGTGGGGAGGGCATGGGTATGTGCATCCACATGTGTTCAGGCATTTGTAGAGGTCAGAAAAGGGGGTCAGATCCCCTGGAGTTACAGGCAGTTGTGAGCTGCCCTATGTGGGTGCTGGGAACTGAACTCTCATTCTCTGCAAGAGCAGCAAGTGCCTTTAACCTTCAGCAATCTCTCCAGCCCCATCCCAGGTATTCTCAACCCATTCAAGTTGACAGTTGAATCTGACCATGCCAAGGAATTAGCATATTCTGTATTCTAATAAATTTATCAAAAGTGAGATCCATCACACCCTCTACTTTACAGCATAAAATTTTGTTCCTGCAGTCTATATAGACTCATGGGCACAAAACAGAATGAAGTGTTCTTTTGCAGGGAGTGTTTAGGAGACAAATGTAAGGGAGTTGTGGCTTAAGGAAGGAATACAGTGTGTGGAGTACCCCAGAAAATATGAGTGCTTGGAGATGATTTACTATCCATAAGATCCCCTGTAAAGAGGTCAGCACAGTCATGAACTCTGTTTTGTAGACTGCAATCAAAGATACTTCCGGTTGGGGATTTAGTTCAGTGGTAGAGCACTTGCCTAGCAAGCACAAGGTCCTGGGTTCCGTCCTCAGCTCTGGAAAATTTAAATAAATATTTAAAAAAAGGTACTTCCTAAGGATACTTGCTTAAAAACATGAAACGTTGTAACCAAGCTAGGTTGCTTTTCCTCTTGAATTGGCTCAACCCATCAAACTGTTTCCTGCATAGAAACTGAGCCATCTTTTCACCAAAGAACAAAGTGACCAGATAGGGACCAACCTGAGGCATAAACCTAAAAAGGGAACCCAGTATTTGGGCCTGAAGCAACAGGGCTCAATAATGTTCTCATGATCTCTATTAAAGAGAAGTTGAAGGACTGATGAATAATCCTTTTGTGCCTTTGAGAGACTGTTGAAAGTCTTTGCAATGTCAGTCAGAGGCAGTATAATGTGCCTCTCCACACACCCCCAGCAAGGTCCCCTTGGATGCACCCGTCACTATCTTTACAAAGGGAAGCCTGCCTGGGAATATGGAAATGTACCTGCAACTTCTAAGGGATCAGTGTGGAAATTTTCGAAAGTGGCAAGTGCCATTTTCCTTAGATCTTACCGGTGTCTGACATGTCAGTGAATTAGCATCACTGCTGTATTTTGAGACTTAGTTTTGGGGCCTCAGTAAATCTTTCTTCAGCATCAGGTTGTTTGGATATTAGTGTATGTTATGTTTTACCCCAGTGGTCGCAGGCTGCCACTGGTTGTATGTGAGGCAATGTGTTACTTGCAAAAATATTGTCTTGGGGAGATCCATGGCTTTTCACAGAGGAGGTAGCTAAGCCTCCAAGGAGTTGGGTGTACATACCTCACAGCCAGAAACACAGTGGCTTCGAGCTTTGAGCCACATGCCTTACTTACTCTAGAATTTATGCTTTTTCTTGCATTACATTGGATGCCTTAGAAATCATGAACGGTACTCACCAAAAAAAAAAAAAAAAAAAAGAATGGCGTACTTCACAGTTGGACAAGTGTATTGCCGAACACCCAAATCAAAGATCATTTCACAGACGTGGGGTTTAGAATGATGTGTAGTTCCCACGGGTCTTGTTTTACTTATTAATTCCTTTATCCACAGAAGGAAAATGAAACAATTGACTCCAAGGCAGGTGTCCAGCTACCCCGAGCTAGCAAGGGTTATATCAGGGCTAGCCTTAGATTCAATGCATGTGTGTATATGTACACATACATGTGTGTGAGTGCATGTGTGGGTGTTTGGAGGAAGGAGGGAGTGAGTTAGTGAGGCTTTCAAGTTTAGGGCAATCCCTGGAGGCTTCTCAGTGTCGATCTAGGAATAGTAGGTGGCAATCTGCTGATGACAAGGTACACAAATGCAAAACAGAGGGGCCAATTGTTTTATCCTGCTTTTAGTGACCCGCGGAACATCTGAAGAGTTGGTGCATGTGTGTGTGTATGTGTGTACTTGTGAGTCTGCATTGTGTAAATGGGTGAGTCTATACATGTATATGTGTGTGTGAGCATGCACGCATGTATGCACATATCAATCACGGATGCTCTTCCAACTTGTATTTTTGAGACTGAGTCCCTTACTTTGACCTGAACTCATGGATACCCAAGGCTAGCTGGTCAGCAAGCCTCTGTGACCTGTCTTCATCTCCTCACACTGGGATTGCAGGTTACCATGCCCAGTTTTCTCATGTGATTTCTGGGGATCAAACCCAGTCCTCACACTTCTGCAGCAATCCCTTTATTGGCTGTGCTATCTCTCTAGTCCCCAGGAGTTACTGCTTTTTAACTAAAGTATCCTCTATGACCCTGTCACATCCCCAGTGCTCAACTTCCCAGTTCTGTTTTATACATGAAACGGATAAGCCATAGAGGGACTAAAGGAGTTGCCCCTGGTTGTAAAGATGAACTCAAAGCCATGTGGTCTGATTCCTGGGATTTCCAAAAAGGCATCTGAGACTTGAACAGCCACATCTCCAGGCGGAGGCAAGGATGGAGAGTGAGTGATTCTGAGGAAGCATGTAAACAACTGTGATGCCCACAGGGGCGCTTCTGCATGCAGAGGCTTGTGCGGCATCACACCGACTCTCTTTGATCAGCTGCAGGGCATCCTGAGGGGAGCCAAGCACAGACCTTCCCTGCAGGCATGGGTAATGAATTCTGCTTCAGCTCGTATGCCACCTGTCTATGGAGAACAGATACCTCACGGAAGTCTCAGAGCATCTTTTTAATTGAGGACGGTGTCTCTTCAGTCAGGAATTGGGGCTGAAGGAGATGATTAGATGATCAGATTCACTTTGGTCAGGTTGGCCCTTAAGTGACAGTCCCATCCTGAAATGCCTCCTACTCAAGTCTGCCTCCAAGGCCATACCTAGCTTTTTCATTATTATCAGAAATGTCCTGTGCCCCCTCCCCACCAACAGCCTGCTAAGGAGACAGTGTGCAGATCAGCTCCTGCTGTTAAAACCTATGAGTGTGTGCTGTACTTTGGATCTTAGTCTCACCTTCCCCCTTGATTGAGACAGGGTTTCTTGTGCACCACTACATACTCCAGGCTAGCTGGCCCAGGAACTTCTGGGGAGTCTCCCATCTGCCTCCCATCTGGCCTTAGAAATGCTGGAGTTACAAACATGTGTTACTGTGCCCATGTTTGTGTGGACTCAGGGGATCAGAACTCAGGACCTCATGCTTGTGTGACAAGCACTTAAGCCATTGATCTGTCTCCTCAGCTCTGCAATCCTCCTGTTCTAGTTTCTTTTCTGTTGCTGTGAGAAAATACATTTCCACCATCACCGCTGCCTCTACCACCACCACCGTGACTACCACCACCACCACCACCACCACCACCACCACCACCACAGAAAGAAAGGGGTTTATTTCAGCTCACAGTTCCAGGGTACAAGTCCATCATGGTGGGGAATTCAAGGTAGGAACTTCAGTCAGTTGCATTGTATCCACAGTCAAGAGCACAGAGGACAAGAATGCACTTATACTCCCCCGCTCACTTTCTAGTCTCCAGCTTGACATCTCTGCTCTTACACAGTGCGGGACTCCTGACTAGGGAATGGTGCTGCCCACGGTTGGCTGAGTCTTCTCACAACAATGAACTCCTTGAGATGATCTCCCACAGACATTTCCACAAGCCAACCTCAATGTGGCAGTCTTTGATTGAAATTCTCTTCAACAGTTAGCAAGTTGATAACCAGAGCCAACCACCATATTTTCCTTTTGAAATGAACCAATGATGAGAATTTTAAACCCCAGCTACTGTTAGAAAAATCCTCATCTGGGCTAGACCAGAAGCCTGAGGCATCTTCGTGTCTCTCATATTATGTTTCTGTCTGCTTTATAGCACTACTCAGAAATCTGGCTGCCCTTTCAATAATACACAGCACAGGCGGAACTCTTTATTTTAAACTCCTGGTCTGCCTTCCTCTTTCCTCTTCACACCTGGCTCTTCTTCATCACCTGCCTGCACACCATCAAGGCTCCTCTGCAAACATCTCAGGTCTCCTCCCTCTGCCTCCATTCCTCCACCCTCTCAAGCCTCCGCGCTTGCAGCTGCCACCTACGTAGTCTCCCCCATCTCTTGCCCCTCCGAATGCGTTCTTTACTTGGTAACTCATCGTTAAGAAAGTGCAAGTAAGGTCATATTTACCCTCTGCTCACCAGCTTTCCACGGGACAGCTGGCCACACAAATGCTGTAAGCCTTTCACACTTTCCAGAACAAAATCTCGTGTGCACTTCTCATGTCAACTGCAGCTGCCTTCAGGGCTCTGCCTGGTGCTTTTCAGCTCTTCCGTTTGGTTGACCTCTTCCCCACTCCCCTTCTGAAGGTTTATGCATGTGCTGTTTCCTGGGGGTCCCTAGAGATGTCCTTCACTCTCTAATCTCGTTATGTTGCATGTGTAGATGTCCTTCATGCTATAGATGTGAAATAGTGTCCCCAGCTTGACTGTCCAGTAACACCCATTGAATCCCATGTTCACAACAGCAGAGGACTTTCTCCAGCTGGCAGGAGAAATGTCAGATCTGAGAGGCAAGCAGGACTAAAGCCCCACCACTGATTTAAGAGGGAGGAGACCATGTGAGGACGGGTGGGCCCTACCTTTACCTGTGTTAATTTTTCCACTAAACTAACTTCTATCATAATCCCTCATTACGTTTATTAAAAACCCCAATCATCAAAATTCTATTTAAACAGACACTACTATTGTATAAAATCATTGTTTTAGTTAAACAGTGTAGCTTAGGAGGAAATCATCTTCATAATAATCCACAGGTAAAAATGCCCAGTCGAATAGGATATTCCAAGACCACATTAAGGGCAGTGGGGGACCTCCCCACACCTGTTCACCCCATGCCAGATACCAGAGAAAGATGGCAGCAGGAAACATGCAAAGACACAGCAGTAGCAAGAGACATTCTGGTGCCAAGGCTGGGGGGGTGGGGGGCGGAGCTTGCCTATCTGAGATTCACCCATCAGAGCTTTACTTCCTGGTGGGCCGATTCCCTGAATCCACTTGGCACCTGCTGCCCCTCTGATATGGCCACTGGCAGATGGAGGTGGTCTCAAGTGAGGCTTTTGGCTCATACCCAGTGAGGAATGGAAAAATTCAGCCCTATAAGCATAGCACTGGATTCTGCCAACGTTCCAGGCGATCTTCAAAGCTGCTTCCCTCCACCCCCCACCCAAACCCCTCCCCGCCCCCAGAGGCTTCCTTGGCCAGGCAGCAGATGCCTAGATTTTGGCTTTGGAATTTTTTGATGTTAGAGAGGACTGTGAAGGGACACATCTGTGCTGTTTCTGAGTTGCTATTGGCAGCAATTGAGAGATGACATAGCCTGGAATGTTCCCTTCTCTATCATCTCCTGTCACCTCTTCTGCCAGGCCTAGCCATTCCCCGCCAGCTCACCTGAAGCACCCCCTCTTGCTGTTTACTCTCAAGCTGTCCCGTCGTCTTCCGTTCTTCTTAGCACTCATCGCAGGTTGACCTCATCCTACATCTCCCCCTCCAATACCAGAGACTGAATGCAGGGCTTTGCACACGCTAGGTAAAGGCTCCAGGTGGGGGGGGGGGGCAAGCCCTCTTCTCACCTTTTGTTTTGAGATAGGATCTCACTAAGTTGTCCAGCCTGCTTTGAACCCACTCTGTGGCTTAGCAGGCCCTGGAAGTGTGATCCTTCTGCCTCGGCCTCCCAAGTAGCTGAAACTGTAAGCCTGTACCACCAGGCCCAGCTGGCATGGTAGACTTAAGACGTAGTACTGTGCTCGTGTATGGACACTCTGTGAAATCCAGTTCCTCTTACTTTCTACTTAGATGGCTAAGTTAATAATCATTCTGTGTCTCAGTTTTTGAGCCTGTTAAGTGGGCATGATTACACTCTCCCAGAGGGTCACATGAACACAATCCATACAGTGTTTGCAGTAGCACTCGGTGCAGAGCAAGCTGTAATAATTGAAGTCACTGCTTATCATTTGTGATCGTGTTCTGTCCTGGGGCTCAGCAAACTTCCGTCCTGGCAAAGACAGTCACTACCCAGCTTTTCTAAGTGAAGGTTTCCTGAAACACCACCACGTTTATCTACCTATAGTTGGTGGCGCTTTTGTGCTATTGTGTCAGAGCTGAATAATTCTGATCACAAGGCTCGCAAAGCCTAAGTGATTGATTCTTTGCCCTTCCGCAGAGGCAGCATGCTGTGGGTTCTATGTACCATGAGGGCTGGGACCACATCTGTTTTTCTTCATCCTGACTCCTCCACACTTGGCACAGTACCGGGCACGTGGTAGGTGCACATCGCAGCATATGGAGATGATGAAAGTTGGATTGGGTAGTGTGCTACCATTGCCTGCCCAGGAGGCCACTCTTGCTCCCCCTGCCTGGCATCAGCTCTTCTGGGTCAGAGCCAGCAACTCCCCTCATTGTCATGCAGGCCAGCCCTTCTCCAGCCTCATTAATGTTCCTGCAAGGCCGTCTTTACTTGGACTTTAACATCAAGTGCCATTTTTACTTTGCAAATTAATGCCGCTTTGTGGCTATGTTAATAAGCTCAGTGTCCTTCGACCGTTCATCTCCCAGATTGGTACCTACCTTGGACTGACTGAGATGGCCTGGATGTCACAATATCAAACCACCAAGTCATAAATCAGCTGGTGCCTCAGAACACGTGGTGCTCTGCTGGATCTCAGATTGTCAGTTTCAAAATACACCCTCTCCTTAGAAGAATGAAGATACAGCATTAACCTTTGGCCTGCATTGCGGGAACATTCTAAAGTGTCTAAATTTGCATCTGCTACATGGATACCTTTCTTGTGGTTTTTCTTTTTCTTTTTTTTTTTTTCATGGCTGGTCCATTGCCATCCCTCATGATATTTCATATTTCTAGCCTAATAGTCTTTAATTAGTTAGAGAGTTTAAAATTGTCAACTGTATTACACTTGCAGGGAAATCAAGTTCTCTCTCAGTGAGGTGAACCAGCAGAATTGATTGCCAATTGAGCTGTTTGCCACCAGGATGGGCTGCATCAGCAATCACCAGTGGGTGTGAGGGGGTGGTAGTGAAAGACCCCCGCTCCATTATGAGGACATGGGGCTTTGGGCCAATAAAATGCGCCCCCCCCCCTATAACTTAGCCTAAGAAACGCCATTCTAAAGGAATCAGAAAAACAGGAGTTCACAGCCATACCCAGCCACCCGGCCTTGACAGAGATAGCTATGGCCAGCCTTGAGAGAGATAACTGTGGTCGGC